CCCTTCCCAGATGAAACACTGAGGAAGTATACGGTAATTCCAATAATCTACCTCACACCTGCACCTCTCTTTCCTTAAATGAGGGACATAGTTAAGGGATACTGTGTCGTCAAATAAAGCAACCAATCGATACATGAGGCGTGGTGAGACAACTAACAAAGAGTTCCTGCACGTTGTGAGCGGGTCGTGATTAGCGCCGCACCTCTGCGTTTTCTATCTCGAATTTTCGTCCAATTTTTGAACATTTTTCTATTCTCAAAATAGAAGCAACTACTAAACGGTCAGAATTTGATCTGTCAGTTGCTGATTCCCTTTTTCCAGATCTATATGAGTCCATCGCCCGATTTTTGCGATGCGGATCCTGCTCGTGGGATTTTTGGTACGAAAGGGCGTGAATGCAATATCACATCTCAAGGGGTGGATGGTTGCCAATTGGTGAGTTTTCTGAAGGAAATCTGCCCTCTCAAAGAACTAATTTCTCATCTAGGCAACTTTTCAGTTATGCTGTAATCGGGGATTTGAACGACGAGTGTTTTTCGAAGTGGATCAGTGCAATTGCAAATTTCACTATTGTTGTCGAGTCGAATGTGAACCATGCGAACGTCGAATTGAAAGACATTTCTGTCTTTGAACCCCAAAACGCTCCGTCGTCCCCTCTCCCCTACCTCTTACCATGTCCACCCATAATGTCTAAATACCTAGGTATAGCTTTTGTATCATAGTTATCGCCATAGTCCCACCCCCTCTCCCCCAAACTCCGCCCCTCTCCGAAATTGTCGATAATATCATCACGTTGTTTTTGTCGATCACTGTGGTCTCATTGTGTGCATAAGAAATTCATGTTAACGAATGAACTTTTATGCTTATGAATAAATTCATTACATATGTATATGTATATATATATAGAATATTTACAAAACACCTGTACTGTATAGACGGCGGTGTTGAGATGAATAATGGGGATACACACGCCGTTATGAGCAGAAAAGAGGTATTGGAAGGAGATGAGTAAGAGGAGGTAAAGAGACCTCAGTGAACAGATGTATAGACAGTAAGGACGGTCCATGGGACGGTCAGATAGGCCTCAAAGGCTGAATGTAGCCGACTTCCGCATATCGCTCCACGTAACCTTTTTCGATGGTTTATTAGGCAACGTCCGGGAACGTATTCGGGTGACTGTGACTGCTGAACGCCTCTGAAATCGAGAAATCGAGATTACCTTACCCTTATAGGTAACGTCAGATGAGTAGAAGGGCAGGTAAACTGACGTTTTTGGTGCCCATTATCCGGCTTGCCAAAATGGCAAACTGTCGGCTTTCCTCATCTTGACTATCCGTTTCTAAGAGTACTGTATAGAGCATTGGCTCCAGAATAGGTATTCGATTCTGGACATCACGCAGAATCTGGAACAATTTCCATCTGTGACTGATAGGGGCTACCGTATCGCAAAAGCTGTACTTACCTTACTAAGTACTCTGTCACGAAATATTGTAAGAATTGTTCGACGGAGGTCGAAACCTGGACGAGTTCGCTGAAAAATTGGAACTTCAGTGGAAACGTAAAGGAAAAGTGCTGATAATAGGAGTAAAAACCAGTAGTAAGTTACCTGTAGGGGGTAGAGTACACTTTGTAGCGCTGGGAGAATGTTGTGGAAGAGCTGATCCCACAGGGCGACCAAATTCTGAAATATGTCACATCACACAAGGATTTCGATGTCCATCCTACTAGATAGTCCTTAATCGCAGCTTAGATGCACTTTCTTGAGATATGCCATGCCCTCGACTTCCATTTGAACCCTCAGAGGTATATGAATGCTCAGTGTCCCCTTTCCTAGTGATGTCTCCTTAGCTGACAACATCGATGCGAAATGGTTATTAGTCAGGTTGCCTATGCAGCAGGCAGTAGTCCGAGGTATAGCTCTCCCAGCCCACATCTACTGGATCTAGGGTTCAAATCTACTATGCGGCTCGTATTTTTCGTTATCCCTGAGATCATTCAATCTGGGTAGAACATCGATTTCTGCGGTTCTTGAGCAGAAAACCGTTTTTGGGGTAATAAGAAAGGTATCCGCCCAAAGTGTACGGAGTGCATTCCTTTAGGAATGCAAGAAGGCGTTGTGGAGCTGACCTGACACTCATCCACCACGCTCGAATGAAAATTGCTAGGTTCAACGTTCCAGCCGAACAAAGTAGATGATCGAGCAGGTCAGTTTCAACTTTTTGGGAGCTCCCAGGTGGGCGGGGTCTCGGCTCACCGTCTGAGTCCAGTAATATGGAGTGTGGACTCGGACGTTGAGCCGAGGTCCTCAACGGTGTTCATTCTTCATGATTACCGTACCTGTTACTGTTCCAGTATGAGTGAAACTCATTGAGCAAGAGTGGACAGACGAGTAGAGATTGCCTCAGGGGGTGAGCAGACTCGCCGAATATTGAACGGCACCGATCACCGAAAAGTAGAGCAGTCCGTCTGATCTGCTGCGTTCAATGGCCATCGATGAATGGTATTGCGTGATAGGCCCTTGAACAGTCGTTCCCCACCTCTACCTACCGCAGTGCATTTTCTCTGCGCTCTCATATCTGGACAACTTCCATGGTGAAACAGTGGGAGCTACGGCACTCGGATGGAAGTCAGAGAAAGGCAGCGTTGGAGCATAGCGTTCTGTGAGAGCTACCAGCTAGCTGGCAGATGATCACTTAAACGTGCTCAGCTCAAGTGTTTCAACTGAATGAACCTGATACGGGAATCTGATTCACGCCCGGTGAAGCCGTATGGGGTCGGGAGAAGCGGCTCGACGGGACAACGTGCCTTAAAGTTGTGGGGATGGGAAAATTGTGAGCACTGGGCTCGCGATTTTCTGGGCTTCGCCTTCGAAGTTCATTCGGGAGCTTTAGTGGCTTCAGATGCAAAATTTTGGACTGGAAAAGGCATATAGGGCGAACTTACAGAGAAATTTCAATGGATCGATTAGGTGGGATCGATTGTAACGCATACTATCTCATGCGAGTACTATCGGCACTTAATGTGATCAGAGAGCGCAATGGATAAGAGCCTGCACTGACGAGATGGGGTCGATAGTACGGATCCTAGGATGATTTTGCATGGTGATAGAACGAAAATACGGTTTTGCATGATTGGGAAATTGTAGGAAAAACGATTTTGTCGGTTATTCGAATCCCCGAACAAACTAGAAGAGCCGAAGAGCCGCAATATGCACAAGAAGTCCTGAAACAATATCCTTTAGGCTCTGGGAGACACCATCCATCGGACAGTTCTAGCACCTTAATGAACATCGTTGCTTTTCGACTTGCATCCGTGGAAGATGGACTCGGAGCAAGAAAACAGCAGTGAGCTAGAGCCGAACCCTCCATCTCGTAAACAAGAGCCTAAACACTAACCTGTTGGGCTCTTTGATGTATTGATGACCTCCTCTCGCTCAGCAATCATACACGTTGTATTGAATGTTCGAGGTGCAAAATACTCTCGTAGGAATAGCAAGCCTATGTCTGGAAGTCCGATTGAATCAAAAATCATCCCCTCAGAAGAGTTGTGAAGTGATGAGCCAGAGCCCTGATTCTAACCAATAGGTCACTTGCCCACTTCGCTTCCTTCTTCCTTTCCCTCTTGACCTGTTTCTTTCAGCTTGCCGTCAAGTAAAAGTGACATTGCGATTGTTTTCTGCAGTCTAATCAACAATCCCCAGTCAGACCTAAAACCCCAATTTCTTCTAGTTGGTCAGTGGGACATCTAAATGACAGAGTGGGGCATAAGAACGTCTTAGTGAATGCTTAGCTCAGCTAGAGAAGCGGCAGCTAATCATTTCTTGGCGCCATCGTTATCAGTTGTCTGAATTCCTTGCAAGTGCATGCCGAAGAAGAGCGCTCCGATCGGGAAAAAAACCTCTCCAACGATTTTTCCAATAATCTTTAAAGCGTGTTAGAAGCTTTCAGTTACATAAGGAACAATTTCACTTGACTGAGCAGGGCTTTTGAGGGAATTCCGTAGGCATGAAATATTTGAATGCCCTCGAAGTAGAAGCAGTCTACGTCAGATTTCTACTCTCGCCAACCTCACAAATTGTCTACTTTTAAGGATTTCGCGAGGCCATTCAATTCCTAACACTAGTTATTCCCAGAGTTGTTACTAGTTGTTGCAACTGGTCACCTCCGATAGCTAGAGAAAGCCAGTTTTTTCTTTGAATTACGGTTAACAGGAGGTCGCTAGTAGTCACCGGTATATTGACTGGCCTATTAAGACTTCGTACAGGCCACATACGCATTCAAACATACCAGGAATCCGAATGGAAGTCGAATGCATGGCGAATTTCAAGGAGTTCCCCCTCCACGTACTCTACAGGAATTACTCTATGTTTACTCCAGCCCTTCAAATCCTTTTCAAGCTTACCTCAGGGTCTTTGGAATCGAGTGCTGAATAGAGTTCTGTAGTATTACAAAGGAATTGTTTACAGGCGTTGTTTTCGAGTGTAGATGGAGCAGCTCCTGTCTGGAACAGATTACGGTCAATAACAATTCAAATTCAGTCAACTGAAGATTGAATCCTACCTCAAGAAATTCAATGAGATCTTCTTGTTCAACGTAACCCATTTGTTCAATATCATCAGCAAGCTGNAATAAGGATTCTTTTCCCTCATGTACTCTTCTGGTTAATTACTCTATGATACTCCACCCCTCCAAATCCTTTTCAAGCTTACCTCAGGGTCTTTGGAATCGAGTGCTGAATAGAGTTCTGTAGTATTACAAAGGAATTGTTTACAGGCGTTGTTTTCGAGTGTGGATGGAGCAGCTCCTGTCTGGAAGAGATTACGGTCAATAACAATTCAGATTCAGTCAACTGAAGATTGAATCCAACCTCAAGAAATTCAATGAGATCTTCTTGCTCGACGTAACCCATTTGTTCAATATCATCAGCAAGCTGACGTCTCACATCACTGGTGAGTTCATGGCCCTGTAGGGCAGAAACCAACCAAAGACACCATGATGGTGACAATTGTGTTGGTGACGGAGGTGGAGAGCTCTTCAACTTGTCCATTTGTTTACGGAATGGGTTAAGATAACCTAAAACGTCGACAGAGTCATCCAAAGTCATCAAAACGTCACTGCCCGGGTACGGACACTTCTGCTGAGTGTGGCAGGACACTCAACAAACCGAACGCCCCACTCGGCTTTGACGGAAATAGGCCATGAAATTTGCAGAAGTCTTAAGCAGAAAGGGTTACCTGGAGAAATCGGTGAAGACGGTGAGAAGACCATAGCGATTGAAGGAATGCGAAGAAATTCACTGAAATAGGAAAAGTCAACGGTCGGGACCTCAGTGAGGATGGTAAAAGAGCTGAAGCACGAATGAAACAGAGAGACGAGATTTTGGAAGTATCACGAGAAATTCTAGGGTACTCTGAGTGTTTATCATTAGAAAAGTTCGAGATCGAAGGGTCCATTGACCACTAGAAGTAAATCTTCTGAACCAGGATCAGCTGCATTCCAGAAGTTAAGTAATTAGTAGGGAGTAAGTTGTCCCAGAAAATGCGACAAGACGTGTAGAGGGAATCGATGGTTCCTTGTAAGAGCATAAAGAAATACCCTTCGGAACAGCTTCAATAGTACTCTTCTTGCTCGGCTATCTGAGCTTAACAATAGTCCTAGCTAGATAGGGGTTGCCTGAGAGGACAGCCATACCCAAGTGGGTAACCACTTGCTCCAACGTAGCCTTATATAGACGCCCAGACCGAGGTTGCATGACGTAGTGGCAGGAGAGCTGCGTCCAAATTGGGTGCGGTAGGGGTGAATGAAAAAATGAAGCTGGTCGCCGAGTTCAGATGATAGCAGCAGTTTGCATATCAGTCGGTGTATCGTGACCTTATCATAGGCGAAAGGGCTCGAAGGGTAAAACGGAACCAAAAGCGGCAGTGAGCTTGTGTGAAAGATCAGAGTTCATGGGACGTAATAATTGAAAAACTGGATAGGAGCAGATTGAAAGACAGGTCGGAATTGCATAGCAAAAGGTAGATTCTTTGGTGGATTCCAACAAACGAGATCGACAAAGAGTTACTGTAACGTTAAACTGGGCAGAGAGGCTTTTCGCAATGAGCACCTACGGTTGGACAAGCTCTACCCCTAGAATATTCTCAAAAAGAGGTTCTACGGCCTTTGCGGTTCATTCTCATTCCATAATGGAACTCACACAAGTGTAGGAATTTGGGAAATGGGAATGCCGCCAAGTTCCATACCACAAATCACAGGGAATGAAGGTAGGGTAGGGCCTGGTGGCACGGTATCGCTCATATAGTTAGCGGATCAAACCCCGGACCCACAGCCATTTCAAATAACCGAACAGTCTATCCTTCTGGATCGATTAGTTAGTAAAATACTGGTGTAGTATAATACAGTATAAAGAGTCCAACTTCCTTATCGGATGATCCCCATGAGGCTTTTCATTAGACAAGTACGCATTCAGACGTGGTGATGATTCCGATTGGAAACCAAACGTATGGCTGAATGCCAATTACGAACACGATGAACATGGAAAATTTCATCCTCCAATGCTAAAATCCCATTTGCAAGGATAAAACCCTTGTTCCTTGTTATGCTTGTACCCCAGCGAACAAGGTGGCAGAAGGAATGTCTGGACTATGCATGCAGAAAGAACTACTTTAGGTTTATCATCACTTCGGTATGGACTGAGATCCTTCCTCGACTTCCTAGACATCCCCTGTAGCTGTCTCAGGAGAAGAACAATGAACAGCAAGCAAGTAACAAGACGAGACACCTTGGAGCTGAGGAAGACGTCTGTGGAATTGAGATGGTGTAAAGTAGGCGGAACAGACCGATAGGACGATTTATTTATAGTAAACCCTGCGCCTGATTTGGTGCGATGCTCATGTGACACACTCTTGCCACAAAAGGTTTCGAGAACGATCGGAGAACAACTGAGGACTGGCTCACTTAACTTTTGACGACGGCAAACTGATACAACCAGCTTAGCACCTGTTTTTTACTCCAGTTCACAACCTCTACTGTGCCAGCCTCCCAAAATAATTGAATAGCCTCGGGTCTTAAGTGGGAACTAGCCTGTGTCTGAGGTAATACGGATCGCTTCTCTATAAAATACTTATTTTTTGGCCCACCAGTCCTTCTTCCTACGGCCTGTTAGCAAGTAAGAGGACTCTCAAGATTTTTGCCAGGATTCCTAAGAAAACTATGACTAGTAAATCGTATTGGTCTTCAGACACCCGGCTCCAACAACGACTAAGAGCCGCGTCAGCTTATTCTTGACAGCGACCAAATTCAGCAAAATGCAGAGCCTTTCAATTCACAGCTGATTCCCCAGCAAAACTGCAGAAGGTCGGAGTTGTTGAGGCTGGAACAGAGTTGAGGGGGCCGGGATAGTCGCTCGCTCACCATCAGTCTATTAATAAGGTATTGTTTGCTTCGTCAGAAGACAGACAGTTATGCACTCACAACAAGCAATGTTGAGTAAACAAACAAAAAAATTCTGTAAATATTTTCTACCACACTACAAACCATTCATCCTAGTACATATATGATTACAATATACCCCCAGGCACTTGAAAATTGCCATCCGGAAGGGTTTTCAATGGATCGCAAAAGCAGTAATGGGTGGACACTTCGCATGTCCAGAATGAAACCTCGATCAGACCAAAGAGGGACAGAGAGAGAGGGAGAGAGAGGGAGAAGGAGAGGGAGAGAGAAGTTGATTCTATAGTACCAAATGTTTATGAGACCAGATGAACAACTGGACCGCAAGTAGACTCCCTGCACAAGCCGTTAGGGGAATGTATGCATTCGAATCCATTCACAATTCTTACGAATTCACAGATGCATGGCGTATTTCGGACACTTTTGACAGACCTATATCCCTTACTCCCTTAATTTTTGTACCTTACCTAAGGGCTATTATTATTAATGACTGGTATCTATAATATTTACTTACCAGGTTCTCTGTTTACTAAAGATATTCATACCGAATAAACAAACAAATAAATATTGTTGCAACTTATAAAATGAAGACAAGAAGAGAGTAAAGAGGTTGAGGAACAGCAATAATGGTAGGATGCGATTATACGAGACAACGGAACCGTCTCAAATCAATCGTTCTCGCAAATGGTTACCAATTTATGGAACCGCTGAGCGACATGTGTCGGAAGGAANNGAATTAAGCGTTTTTTTTTGTTCAGAACTCTACAGACGATTTCGAATGGGTCACGAATGCATGGCGCATACCTTGCAGACTAGATAGGCCGACTGCTCAAAAATTTCACTTTTTACCCAACATTGGGTATATTCTGATTATTGAAAAGCTAGTTATTCGACAGATTGATATTCGGTACTCATGCTTGAAAATCTTGTTTTGTGAAGTCCTAGATACATTTCAGCAGAATAAATAAATAAACAAATATAAAACAAATAATAAACAAATAGTTTTATTCTGTAAACCAAGAGACTATTGAAGATAACCAAACGTTTACTGCGGGTTACTGCAACAGGATTACGGTGGGAGGATTGGTGGGGTCTCTAGGCGGAGGATGAGAAGTGAGTGAACAAGTTGGTCGAAGGAGTAACGATGCGGGAATTCGGGACCACTAGACCATCCCGAATGAATCAGTTCCCCATTTGGTTGCCATTTTATTGAACCACTAAGGGGCATCTTTTAAAAAAAGAATTGTTAATGGGCGCCTCTACGACCTTCTTAAAGCAGATTATATGGCTTTTTTTCTATTCTTTCGATGCGTGACGACGCAATTCTTGTACTGATGACGATCACGAGGGTGCTCTCTCACAGAAAACGTTCAATGCTCAGCTTCAAAATGGTTCAAACACTTCAAATTTGATTCATCGATAAGAAATAAAAACAATATATTAAAAAACTCCGATAATGCTTCGTTTTTTCAATTATTCGATGATAAGACAGGCTCTACCGCTTCGAATAAACCAGTAAAAAGTATTTCAATAGTAAAAAGAAGAAAACTTCACTCCCAATGAGACGGCCGTGGATAGCGCCGGATGGCACCGCTATCACCTGTAAGGTACGTCAGTGTTCGATTGCTGGATCGATACCTCAGCTCTGGGTAGTTTACCTTTGGTATTCCAGTGGTAGAAATAGTCACTGACTTATGACGCTTACGTGGGTTCACCACTGCCCGTCATTGGGTACACTTTACGATACCAAAATAGCGCTACATGCATGGCGCACACCAAAGTAAGAGCATCGCAACAGACTTAATTCCTAACACTTTCTATTTAATTTTTTGTGAAATTCCTTTTTTGTAACACCATTATTTGATGTTCAATTTTGGCAATGAAAGAATGTATGATAGTTTTTGGCGTTAATGGGCCCGGTCTCTAAAAATATCTCCCTTCAGGATTATAGTGACGATTTCGATGTGTATGTGGTCTACTTACCGACTAGCGGTGGCCAGCCGATGTAACGCCTTTACTCTCTGAGAAGTACATTGTACCAGTTTACGGGTTCCGGAGAAATTTAAGACCACAAGACCGATTGGCTTAATTTTGGCCAGAGATCCGATCCCGTACCATTTGTGCGCAATAGTGCGCCACTCGCCACTACACCACCCTCTACTCAAATGGATTTCCAATAAAGAAACATTTCATTGCCTATTTTGTAGAGTATTCAAAAACAGTATGCATATTGGCATGACATATAGCATTGTTTGAATTGCAGATTCCAATCATTTGCTAATGTAAAACCGATGCCTCAACTTAAAATTGAACTTCAAAATTAGTAAATTTCAATAAAACCTGTAAGAAAAGCTCGCTGTTGAACGAATTTGAAGAACTCCAATTGAAATCAAAACTTAGTAAAGTTGGACCAAATTTCAAATTTGGTGGTGCTGCGAGAGGATCACCTGGTTTCCGAAAACCTAGTTTTTGAAGTTAACTGGGCGTTCGGATAAAAATTATGGAATATTATGAGCAATAAACACCTCCTTAGCGAAATCGGTGGGTTCTAAATCAAATTTAAATTTGGTAAAATTCAAATAGAAATTCTGAGCAAAGAACGGACACTGTCGCGTGACAAGAAGAGGGATGATTTTATTACAGCAGTTCGGACTACACTACAATAACTACCACATTCGCACGGCTACTTGGCAATGGCTGATAAGAAATAATAGGAATTATTCTGAATAAAAAATAGCTTCCTTTATTGAACACGTGGATTTTTGCAAGTGTGATTTTGGCTATTACAATAACCGTTTGATAAATAAAAGAAGGAGTAAACATAAACAGCAAATAAGTGTACTGTCAGGGACGTTTCGGGAGGGACTGGATTACGGCGAGTCATGCAAACTTTGGTTCAGATGGCCTCGAAATCAAATCCTACCTAAGCCAACTGAACCTTTTATCTACTGAGTCGTCAGGACATTTGGGCTCACAGTTGAGCTGGTTACTGTCACTGAGAAGGTTCAGCCCGGATTAAAACTTGGGTCTGGTCACTGGGCAATGATTATTGTAGCCGAACCCCTTGCCATTGCTCTAGTTCATCGTAACTATATATTTACTCGTGAAAGACTGGTTCGAAAAAGTAATGGACTAAAAAACCAGCCGAAATGATGGCAAACGAAATGAGCTATTTAAAGATCGTGATTGATTCCCGACTGTGATCAGTAATGATCGCGATATACATCATTGATGGTTAGGGAATACCCCCGAGTGAAGGTCATTCGATAGGTCTCATTTGAATAGACGTCACCGAAAAACCGTTTTTGTCATCGAAAAGCCCATCGAATATATATGAACAAACTTTTCTTAGAGGGTAGATTGCCCAGACGGAGACATTGAGGCAGTGGCAAATGGCGCTGTTATGACGCAAGCACTGTGGGATCAAATCCCTCCTGTCTCCATGAAGCCTTTGACTCTCGCTGGCTCGATCAACCGGTCCCATATTTGTTCGAGAGGATAAATCAAGTGAGCCCCTTGTCGATGGCTGAACTCTGAGCCTTTCTGCATCCAAGTGTGTTCGCGATTCTGACTGGACGCCAAATGCATGGCGCACACCAGGATAGAATCGATTAATACCGCGTGAGTTTTTTAACGATGTCTCATAATGGTAGCGAACTCCAATTTTGCTTGACTAGATATCGGCCGGATGTCGTTTCTTTTCAGTCCGCCGGCATTAGTCAGCGGCCGTCGAAAGGCAGCAATTCCATCAGGAACGACCACCACCACCTTCAAGAGTGTTCACGCGCAGCGTGGGGGGGTGGAATTGTCACAGTTGCGTGCAAGCTATTCCGGAGCGCTCATCGCCATCGTTTTAGGTTGCCAAGGTGACCAGCAGGCGCTGAGGGAAGCCATGCTGTTAACGGGCAGCCACTACCAATACTGCGCGTTCGGCTGTTAATCCCCTTCATTAATCCCTTAACTCATCAAAATACATTCGAGATTTATTGAAGCCGATTAAATACTTAGGTGATAGAATAGCCAATCAATCTGCCCCATCGGACTCATCCGACGAGCATCGTTCCGTCACCTCTTTCACCCACACCGTTTCCTTTGGTGCTACCCCAAATGTATGTAGAAATTTCAGCCAAGATGTACCGATAATGAGGCTTGCCGTTGCTCTTGCAGTACTGTCAACACTGAACGGAGCCTGGATGTTGAACTGTTATCACTGCGTTTCTCAACTGCCTTTAGAAGGAATAGAAAAAGACGCTCGCCTCGCTTTTAAAGCTCTGATGTTTCAAAGGTATTTCCCTGAACTCTTTTACCTAATTATATTAATCAAGAACTGCAACCTAACTAGGGAGAATCGTGATTCTAAAAGTAGCAATTGAGCTAATAAATAATCTCCGAGCCTTTCTGAAGCCTGTCTGTCACATTCTTGGCTTCCTGTCTCGTCAAGATCTCTGAGGAAGTACCCCGAAACGAGATAAATCCGGCACAACTCCTAGAGCCCAATTGTTCTGAAGCCAGCTTTTTTCACAAAATCTTAACTCCGAACAAAATATTTCGCATTCGTTTTTCTTATTTACTCTTCATACCGTACTACTGGCGTACATTTGTATTCATTCGTGTCATATTGCATGCTTCAATTTCTTCAATTCCATTGATAATCGTTTTAGTGGGCATTTCTTCTTAGTCGTGTACTTTTGACTTCTTTTCTCATTCCAATTACCCTGACTCGCTTGGAAATTAATTAAAAGGGAAATATACACCATAGAAACGGCAAACGCCCATCCCACGCTTCTGAAGCATGTCTGCTGAAGATGAAGTCGTTCGGAAAGGCTAATCTACCCAGGAGACGCGCAAGGTACTCTCCCCTACAATAGCTGACGTGTATTAAAGAAACTCAACATCATCATCGATGCATCCTCGGTTAATACGATATTCGATGATGGCTGACGGTCTGGAATGAGCTTTTACTCTTTGGAACGAGCTTGACACTGATATGTTACTGAGAGACGGTGGAACAAGATGGTAAATTCAATTTGGTCAGGTTCGACGACAAGACCTCAGCAGAGCGGAAAAGCCTTCTGTTGCTTCCCAGCTTGGAGTGTTCCATAGGCAATACTAGTTTTTCTCTGTTGAGACCATAGTACTGCATCAGACGGCCTATCATCCTATGTCTGTCTGACGTGGCTGATTCCACTTCACTGGGTAGATATGCTGCTTTCAGAACTAAAAGAGCTCTGCAAAACCACGATGGTATCTTTCCAGATAAGCATAGCGAATGGATACTACCCCTTGTGTTGTCATTGCATTTTTGGCTTGGCTATCAACCAGGTTGAGAAGCTTTTTATCCATAACTCAAAACCTTTACACTATTGGAAGCCTATTCGAGTTGTTTTGTATGGTGCGCACTGGGAGTATGACAGCAGCCTATTGGTAGTGACGAGAGTTCCGGAGATTATGGTTGAGTCGCTTTGGCTGCCTATTTCCGTTCCCACCAACTCCTGAACGAGCACCATCCACA